TTCAAATCCCCTGGCTGGTTACCCAGTACAACAACTTTTCGGAGGTGGTCGTCGAAAAATGTCTTATCGAATGAAATGGTAATGAGTGCAGACGGCATTCAAATAATGCTCAACCGACCGTCCAACACACACATATACAAACACAATACATCGACCATTCTTCGGATAAAGTCAGCTCAGGGTCATTCCAATCGTAATCACGCATTGAAAATCATTCCTTTTGTTTTTGTGTTGTTTTTATTGTTATGATTCTAAAACAAATAAAACATACGCTAGAGGGATGACTAGTGTTTCCGATGCAATCACACAAAGCTCATGCATTATTATTACGAAATTTACATTTTTCCCTCCAAATCATGTTTAATGCAAAGTCATTTAAGGTTTTCGCTGCGCCAAGCGATTTCGAAAAATGCAGGCGAAAAGTTTACGAACTTTGAATAATAAATATGTGCATGCATTTCACCCTCCCTCCGCTCCGGTCCCACACCATGCTACGCCAACACAAAACGCTTTAAATGGCCACACGAGAATATTATACAACTGACGAATGAATATTTTATCATTCAACACAGTGAAAATGGATCTTAGCATGCTCTTTTATTTCCAGTTGGGAATTTGAGCGTACAACGAAGTGAAACGCATACAAAACCATAGTTGCGTAACGATAAAATAATTGCTTCTCCAGCCAATGACGATATTCATCTATTGTTCATTACGCTGATTATATTCATATACTTTCCGAGTTTTCATTCAATTAGTGAAGTTTTCATTTGGAATCATCCAGCGTGCTGCAAGCTGCTAAGCGATGTTTAATTCTCGTCTTCCGAACATTTCCATTACAAAGGCAAAATGACGAATATACGCAGACATCGAGAGAAAAGCTGTTGGAATTCACAACTGGATGTCAACTGATAATGAATTTGTTTCAGTGCATGTGCTTATTCGGCATTTTATGATGAAACACATGAAGGAAAGAAAAAACTGTGCAATGCCAGCATTTCACTTGCATGGCCATCTTTTTTTCCCCTCTTTGTGAAATCCTAAATAAATAACAATTTCATTGGTGTGAAGCCTTCCATTGTGTCGATGTCATATCCAACTGATTCTTGAACTCGATAGCAGTGCACATTTGCAATTGCTAGCAGTTCAGCCACATTTGTCTCGTTCATTATGAAATGATGCAAATGCATGCGATTATCCAATAAAAAAGCATACCCATTTTTCAGCTTGAGTCAACCATAAAAAGTAGTCTGAATTCATTGCATGAAAATATAATGCGAACGAAATATTTCGTATTAAATATGAATGGTTTGGAGCGAAAATGTAATAAAGAGAAGTTGAGCAGAAAAATGTCAAATGAAAAGGGATAGCTAAATAGTTCACTATAGTTTACTATACAGTTTACTATATAGCTATTCCTTTTCCGCTCATTCATCATCGACATTTTTCCGCTCAACTTTTTTGTATTACATTTTCGCTCCAAATCATTCATATTTTCCACGATGCTTGTGTATGTGTGTTTTTTGTGGTTGCTCAAATTCAAAGGAACGGCAATTCGATTGAGAATTCATCTATTGGAAAATCGCATTCTTTCTTCAGAATTTTTTTCTTCGCTTCTAAACGCAATGATTTTCCATCGTCTGCTAACTAACAAAACAAAAAACTGCGTTTTGTTTCGTTTGTTCCATCATCATTTTTTCTGTCAGTTTTTTCCTTCGGTTTTTATTTTCGTAGTAAAAGCCATTAAACGGATGAATCATCATGATATTTGAATTGATCTCGCAGCTGAACTAAAAGGGAGAGAGAAAAAAAAAACGCAAAACCATTTCTTTTTCATCCTCTGCGAGTATTTATGATATTTCAAGAACTTTGTCAGTTCAATTCTCATTCATTTTCAATTGGTCTTGATTCAAACAAAAAAATGGGAGAGAGAGAGAGCGAGCGAAAAAAAACGTTTTTATCGTTTTTGCGATAACATTGATTCGAATGGAACGTCAAGACAAGGGATTCGAGTGGAATTCCATTTTTTATCGAGAGTTTTTTTTCGTTATTGAATGAGCATTTCTACAGAACGCACTCACAATATCAGATTATGAACAAGTGCAAAATGGTGGTGCAATTCAATAAAATGAAATAAACGATGGAGGATAAGCCAATAAAAGAAGCCCGAGTTGCATTACAGCAAACTCATCAGTTCAGGGGATACGGTTTATATGACTATCATACGCGCCAATTTTTTCTTTCAACACACACACACAATAACCGCATGTTCTGTGTGGGAAGAAGTTCAAATGGAAGTAAAATCCATTAGTTTTGTGAAGCTCGTCTCAAAACTTTAAATACTTTTCAAAACTCAGAAAAATCTATATCATAAAGCTGAAAATCTGATGATGAAACAATTCGCGATGTATTCAGGTCAAGATTGAAACGTAGAACAAAAAACGAGATGAAAGCTGAAAAATGCCGATTGCATGCATCGCCGTCCATTGTCTCTTTGAACTTAACAACACGCTCTTGTCGTTTTTAATTGGCTTTAGACCTATTTGCGAGGGTGTTTTCTAGAATCATCACAAAATCTAGGAGCTGAAGCACCATATGTTTGTGAGAAAGAGATTTAGCAACAAAGAGAGCGAGATTTATGAGTGGTCTTCACAGTCTCAAAATTAGGTTGAAACATCATCGTCAAGCAGTCCCCCTCAACAGCAGAGGCAGTTTCATCAGCATAAAACAAAACATTCTAACCGCATTTCGTTTGATGCACATAGAACAAATACGAGAATATTTATGTGCTAAAATACTTGTGCTTTCATTGAATTATGCCCGTTATGTCAGATGCAAGATATACGGATGGGCTTTAGCTAGCAACATTTTTCTTTGAATTAAGTTTATTAAACATCCTTTTTTTCTGACGTGGATGGCAAGTTAAGTTTGAGATGAGAGGCATTTTACCAGCAGAAATGTAGCAAAAACCGGCTACAAAAGCCAAAAGCGAAAATCTGAGATTAACATGTCAAAATCAATTTCAATTTCCTCTAATTTGCGGCGGAAAAGTTGCCAAAGAGAAAAATAAATATGAAAAAAGGTCTCCCTTCCACATTCCGGCATGCGTGTTTCGCTCTTCCTTTCGCTCTCTCTTTTTTTCATTTCGAGAATAATTTCAATTTGCACTGATGAATGCAATGATGATAACCAAGATTCTCTGAATACTTAACTGTGCATAAATGTGAATCAATTCTAGTGACGCCCCATTTGTTTTCAATTTAAACTTCATTATAGAAAGTTACTATCACCCGCTGTGAGGTGTGAGCACACACACACAAACTTCCGATTCAATGGCATATATTCCGGTGAAAGATTAAAAGCACAAAACTGTCAAAATATGGAAGTGAGCGCACAGTTTTGAGTTTCATACAGTTTATAATAAACGATGACAGGTATTTGAACTCGATCTGGATTACCTTTGATGTCAATTAGTTTATACGCTTGTCGTAACTAATAGTTTTCAGGTAATTCAATGCCGACGTGCATGCAACAGTGTGCTAAATGCCTCGACTTCTGCCACTTGTACTGGGTAATTAATCGAAGAGTAAACCCACTGAAAAAGTACACCATACATTTGCACGTATCAATTTTCAAATCCAATTTCCAACTTCCGAAAGCTTTTTCCTCGGTTGTCTCTCTCACTTTCGCTCTCCATCTGGAACATATAAACAGTTTACACACCTGATACGTCGCACAAAATAGAAAATTTTAATAATAGCGTTGGTGTGTTGTGCAATTTAATAAGAACGTACTGCGCTCGCCCGTTCGTTCATAAAATGGTCACAATTGAAAATTTGAATAATGTGCCGCAGATGTAAACGTCAGCACCAACGCTTTACACTTATTGAATTGAATATTATCCAGTGATGTACTTCAGTTGCATTCATAAATTTTTACTTTTTATCTGAATATCGGACGATTTATGTTGTCATAACTCATATTCCGATCGAATGAAAGAGAACGAGAAAGAGAGACAGAGAAACAGAGGTGAAAGGAAAAAACACCCCAAATATGCAATTGTCAACAACGATTGTCACACATTCCGTAGTGCAAGTGTTTCATTCCGCCTCGTAGCATTCCGCCATTTAATGCAATAAATTCAGGTATTTTTAAAACATCATTACACTGGCATTTTTGTCACATTTCCTGTATAGTCGAAATGGCAATAAATGAAAAAAAAATGCTTGTATTTTGCATTGTTTTTCCCTCAGCAACGCAAAAAATCCCATCTGCAATTTTTCCCTCTGTTTGAACGAGAAATAAAAGGCCGGAAAAATCAATAAAAAAAGCTGAAAACCTTCAATGCTAACTACATATGAAAAAAAAGTTCGAATCATTTATAAATAAAATGGGCCGTTTTCGATGTAACTTTTTTTTTTTAAAATACGAATGCTTAACGATGGATTTATTTGGTGGAACATTTTGGCGCTCATTGAAATCAACAAATTTGGTTGGTTGTTATTTGTATTTGGCTAACGAATATGACATGCCATGCCACAAAAATAATCGAATTTTCGACGAATGATGCTTGATTCCGATTTATTTACACACGGTTCACATGTTTCGTGACATGCATTCATTTTTTTGTTCATTTGCGGTTGAAATATAATTTTTTTTTATCAACAACTTTAGTTGGTATTTGCCTGCGGCCAACAAACACAGTGGATATGATGAAAATGCAGTGGCACTGCGTAATTGACAATGGGAAAGAAAACGAAAAGTTGAAAAAAATAAATACCATTCTCTCATTGATGTTTGTATTAACTTTTCGGCTACACAACCCAAACGAATGTTTTAAAACAAATCGAACCGAAGCGAATAAACGAGTGTTTTGGTCAACTTAATCGCTCTTTTTTTTATCGTCCAAAATGATTTCATTTGTTATATGTTTTTGTATTGTGATTTTGTTTCCAATGGAACCATCCAATCTAATGGGCAATCCTTTTTATTCGTTTCAGATTTGAGTTGGAAGGATCGCAGCAGTTGGACCGACATGTTCAGATCAAATCTCCAAAAGCCCTGTGTGAATTATATTTAAGTGAAGTTAATTTCAAATGAACTTTTTCCTATCACTCTAATGAACAATAAAAAGAACAGATCGTAAAAATCTACTGCAGTCCATAAAATTTAAAGGACCTCCCCGAAAAAAGCATCCTCAAAATTGGGAAGAAAAAAATGGTGAACGAAAACAATGTGTTCGTGAGCTTGACGCACACAGATGAAAATCACAATAAATAAACGAATGAAAAAATCGGTCGGAAATTGTATCTGCGATCTGTGATTTAGAGTGACAATGGACCATTTGCGCGAGAAATAAAAAAACGCACACACACACAAATAAAGATAGAATTTTCGTCCATTGAAGTTGTTTTACCTAGCCCATACAACGAACATAAATTTTTTTCCTTCTCCCGGTAGCTTATCACAAGTGCAGCCATTATACCGATGGCCCTATTCATCTACCGTTGAAACTTTTAGGAGTACCGTCGGAAGTACGCTCATAAATTGTCTCCATCCTAATAAATTGAAGTTTGTGAATGCGTTAGTACACACCAAACAGTGATTTGAGTGAAGCATACGGAAAAAACAGTAAAAACTGGAAAAAGAATAGAGAAAAAAAGCGGAATCAAGATTAAAAGTTTTTTTTTAAATTATACTCGAGAGAGTGTGCAAACGGCACAATTAATTATGCCAAAATGACTCATAACATCTCGAATAATTCCATGTGTAACACGAGTGGGTCAGCAATTGGCAACGCCAATTTATCAGCATGCCCATTTTACGCGAACGAAACCGAATGGCCACTCGAGCGTATCGTTTCGACGGTGGTGCCGGTGTTCTTTGGATTGGTGTGTCTCATTGGACTAATGGGCAATGCTTTAGTTATTATTGGTAAGTTTGATCAACTATTTATCAAATGGCTTTTGCGAAACGAAATTTCCATCCCTACCTAACGTCTATGATCCGAACAGCACTTTAGCTTTATTTAATATTGCATCGCACACCTAATGCATGTGTCGAATTTCCGATTTCATAGCCTCAATTGTTTACCTTTATTTCATACTTGAAAATTTACAGTCGTAACGGCCAACCAGCAGATGCGCTCAACAACAAATTTACTGATCATTAATTTGGCAGCTGCTGACATTCTATTTGTGATATTTTGTGTACCTTGGACCGCAACCGATTATATATTCACGGAATGGCCATTTGGCGATCTATGGTGCAAATACGTAAGTTGCCTCGATATTTGCACGCACCTACGCGCGTATAAATCCATTAAATTACTTCTATCTACCCTTTGTTTCCAATTTGCAGGTACAATATATGATAGTGGTGACATGCCATGCGAGTGTGTATACATTGGTTTTAATGTCATTCGATCGATTTTTAGCTGTGGTGCATCCGGTTACCAGTATGTCGTTGCGAACAGAACGAAATGCAATGCTGTAAGTACTCATTTCTATGCAAATGGCCTTTCGTTTGGTTTTTGCAATGGCAGATTTGAAATAACGATAACAAAAAGTATTCAATTTGCCATTGGCGATTTACACACACTCAAAACATTGGCCGAAAAATCACTTTTTCGGCGACATGCAGTTTGAATGGTACCAATTTTATGGAGTAGTTTTCCCTTCTGTTTGTTTTGCACAAAGTTTTTCATTTGAATTGCATACAGTGCTGTTTTGCTCGTTCACTCGCTTGGATGACCATATTCTGAATGTGTTTTGGGATTTAAGCCAAAATGAGCTAAACAACCCGTGTGCAAATAAACTAACAGTCACTCAGTTGTATGTAACTGCATGTAGTGATACACAACTGAAACTGGCTAAGTTGATTGAAATCATGCGTTTTGTATGGAGACAATCACGTTTAGTTATTCTTTCAGTCAGTCGACTAATTTGGGACATTTTGACTAAGAGTGATTTGTGATTAAAGTTAACTGCAGTTGCTTATTTTGTTCGAGACAATCACTTTTAGTCAGTCAAAATGTCTCAAATTATTCGACTGACTAGTCAGTCAAAAAAATTTCCACACGGGAACACTAGTTCTGCCGTTGAAACAGTTATTCAATTTTTCCGTTCATTTTCTTTCATCTATCGTTTTCCGTAATTCATTACAATCGGTTGGTTTTTAATCACCATCGCTGCATCGGATGTGTGACAAATGACTCCGGGGGGAAACTTTTACGTCGCATCTTCTGAACACATTGAATCATGGACCAAAATAATGGCATCGAAACATGTGCAGAGCAATTGTCACCGCCTGGGTTGTCATCGTAACTTCGGCAATACCGGCTGCATTGTCCCATGGTGTTGTTGTGTATCCGTATGGTGGCAGAAACTATACGGCATGCTTGTTTCTCAGTGAAGAAGGCTACAACCTAGTAGCGTTTCAGGTAAACACAATTTTTCAGCTTTTATAAATCATTTTTGCATGAGTGAAACTCATTCCGGCGCATGGAATGGAAAACTTTTAATGTAAACGCATTAACTGTGGGAAAAAACCGACAAGTTCCTCCGAAAATTGTTGAATTTGTACACAAATGTTTGATGAGTGGTTTTTTTTTATTCGGTCAGAAACTATTTCTATTAGTTGTGTGCCGATTTGTGGGCTTGTTCAATTTTATACCAACATCGAACAACTTTTCGTCCCCACGGTGGTTTTACTAACTTTTGTTGTAAAACTATCACGTTTGGCAAAACATTGCCGCTCAATCGATCCTGATGGTTTATTTATAGAACCAAATTGGTTTTTGAGCTGGTCGTTTTTTGTTGGACATTTTTGATGTTTCAATCAAGTGAAGTTAATTCCCGTTTCGATTAAATTTCGACTCAATTGAGCTTTGCGGCTTAGTTGATATTTTAAATTTAGTTATTCAATCTATAGAATTAACGTGGGATGGAGAATGATCCATTCCGATCGAAGAACGTGCCCGCAATTTAATCAACATATTTTGAAATAATGTTTTAAATATATGTGCAGCATATTGAATAGCCTTTGTTCCATTATGGTAATAAATTTAATGGCAAACCAAACTGCCACTCAATCACAACCAGGACCTTTGGTGGTGCGTGGTTTGGACAGCTCATGTCAGCATAAAACACTGTGTTCGTGCGTCATTTAAATGGGTAACCAACTTGATAAACCAAATGTTAAACTATTTAAATTACACCCTACTCAATGTGTCCTATAATCAATGAAGGTTTCTCAGTACTTGTCATTCCATTTTACATGAGTTGCAAATAGCTTAAATTATACAGAGGAACCAATATCTAATAGAGGATAGATCTGAAATCATATCGGATACAGCTACAAGAGCATGAATATCCAACGAAAATTCTATAGCACTTTTGTGTGTTAATGAAACAAGTACTGCGTTGGTTGATGATATGAACCGATGGTCAGAGTCCAATCGGTTCGTTACGTGTTATTTATTCAACGTTCAAATGAATACTCTTGTTGAGTGACCGATCGCTCACATGCAAGTGTGATCGGTCGCTCAATGGTTTTTGATTAGTTTGCATTATTATTCGGTAACATTGCTTACACTGTCATAGTGTAGGTAATTCATTCTACTGTTCATAGCACAATTCAATAAAATTCACCAGATTACCTTCCTTCATTCAATGCTAATCGCGAACAAATTTTATGAAATAGTTTCAAAAAACTCCATGGTTCAAGAAAGTTTTCTGGATTTTGATAATTTATTCGGTGGAATTACATTATGACTCAAGCTAATTCAAAGTTATATCAAGTGCAACACACAAATTGCAATTTGATGAGGAATTAAATATAAGCTCGAACCTGTTATTAGATAATCATTGTCTGGAGCTTAGTTGTAGGATTGAAATGATTCGAAACACACGAAACTTCTCCAAAATGGGCAGAATACAAATAGCTGGATGAGATTAATTCCTGTTTCAACAATAAACTGAGTCGATAGGAATATTTGATACTCCAACGAATAATAAGAAAATATTAGCTTCATCTGAACTAATACATTTTCTGTAGAGAGACTAGAAAAAATTTCAATTTATACAAATGCATCACTAGCTAGCTCACTAGCAGTGAAAGCATTTAGACTCATACGAACGAATATCAAGTACTCTTGTCGATTCTTCTTAGAAAACAAAAATAACAACATGAAATTGCTTTATTGCAAAACACTTTCATGGAATCCATCAATTATTTCAGAATTAAATGCATCTACGAACATTTTTTGGTTGTTAAATGCATCTGCTGTCTGTATCTAATACTCATCAAGATGTGTATCGCCCTAATGTATTACATTATAATAGACACAATAATTTCTGCGAATTTACAAGTCGTTAAAGGATTTATTAAACTAGCATTCATCCAATTCAGCATTTTCGTTGCATCATATTGAAATTTGTGATGTTGACACAATGATGTTTTAGTCATAAGATATGTGCTGATGTTTCATGTAAAACTAGCAAGGCAGCAAAGCAACATGTAAATTGCGATCAAAAGCATGTACCCAAAAGTTGTTTGAGTTATTCCTGGTAAAGGATCAACGAAGAATGATTGTGTGAGCTTGTGTAGGATTAAAAAGCGTATGCAAACATGCAAGCACTTGCACACCATTGATTCTGTGTATTGACATCCTGTGAAACATGGAATTGTCCGTGGTAGACTACCTGTGACAGCACAGCCGTGCTGCTGGTTTCTACGAAATAATTATTATGGAGAATAAATGAAGAGATGAAATGATATTAATAAAGAGAGTGTGTCTTGAGTACACGTATATGAACATTCATGCATGTGTTTGCTCGTTGCTCATGTGAGAATCTTATTGCAATTACGAGCAACAAGCGCTCACCAGTACGTCTGAAAATATGTAATGAAAATTTAATTTAATTTAGTTTCAGCCAAGGGCATTCTTCAACCATTTTTCGTGCTCTTCACCTCTTTTTTCCTCGTTCGTTTGTTTGCTGCAAATGAACATAAAACTAATTTGCTTTTTGCTTACTGTTGTAAGCATTTCGTGCCGAACACAGGAATTAAGTACATTCCATTCGCTTGAAATGACGACACAACCCCATTTACAAATGGCACAAGCACATGCGTGGCTTTATTTCCACGCAGCGACAATAATAAAATGTGCTCCTGTATTTTGAACGTTGTTTTTTCTTCTTTTTTTCTTTCATCCATTCAACAGGTTTCATTCTTCTTGTCATCGTATGTTCTACCACTATTTCTAATTTCATTACTGTACGTGGGCATGTTGTTGCGACTGTGGAAAAATGCACCCGGTTGTAATCCATCCGCTGAATCGAGGTACGTATCATGTGAAAAGTGAAAACATTAAATCATAACAAAACGTTGAAATGAAGAACAACAACAACAACAACAACAATGGAAATGGTAATGGTAATGGCAATGGCAAAGCGAAGCAAAGCACAGCGGTAGAGTATGAATGATGGTAAGGGTGATGAAGGAGCTGAACTAGACGCGTAAATGCTTGATACACGTGTACGCCGAGTCGGTATAAATTCAAATGGAGATTTTTCATTCATGTTCGTTCCGCTGTTATCATTGGACGGAAGCAGTTTCATGGCATGTGCCACTGAAATATATACACAAACACTATGTATGCATGGGAAATCGCGTGATCGAGCAACGGAGATAAGAAGCTCTATCAAATGACATACACATTTATTTCATCCGTTTCATCAAGTTTTAAACGACGCGTGTATGGTATTCGGGTTACGAATGTCATGCAAAGATTCATGAGTTGTGTGTATCCATTTGAGTTTGAAATTGTCAGAAATTGCAAAATGTGATGCCATTTAAAATGAGAGTGGCAAACGAATACGATGACTCTGTCGGTTTTCTTGGAGGACATACAGATATACACTTGATAGCTGCCAGATTGAATGATAAGACTAATGAAATATTTTCAACGTACGCGAAATTTTCGCTACTACAAACATTTGTTAATTTGATTTTAGAGACACACACAAACAACAACAGCAACAATAACAACGGGGAAAAAACGCCAAACCCCGAAGCGACATCGCATGTTTTATTGACTAATGCATTAAGCAGCGTTTCGAAGATGTTTCAAGTATCATTGGGTATTTGCGCTCTGTGTGACACAAATCAAATTCAAGCATTTAAATTTACGGATTCGTGCGTTCGAGTCGAGATAATTTCCACTTGAAAAATCAAATGCAACTTTGCCTCTTGAGAAACGTTCTCATTTTTTTTCTCGTCTTCTTTGGCGTTAAGACTCAATTTCTCGGTCTGTCTGCGTTCAATTCAACAAACGCTCTCCCTTTTTTCCCCATCCTACATCACTTTATCTTTGAAGGAAGGAGAATTCTCCCTTTCTCACTTACTCACTTCAAATTGACGGAGCAAATACGAATTTGTCACTGTTAAAATTTAATGAGTATCAAAGAAGAACGGCTACAGCACATCACAAATGATTAATGTATTATGAAGGCGATGATTGAGCATTTCACAACGTTGAATTTGAATCATTCGAACGGCCGTGAATCCATCTCATGAACCATTGAAACAAACTTACTTTTTACCGACTAACCAAACAAATCTACGAAATGTTTGAAATAAAAGTACTGCAATCAATCGACAAAGGAACACACTATACATTATTAATTTTGTTTCGCAACGCAATTTGTCTAGAAAAAGCGTACGCACATTCGCTTTATTTATCATAATAGACTGTATGCAGCGAATGTGAGCGGCGCTGGACCCGAGCATATTCGCATTCCAAGCATATTGTGTATTTTTACAAATTTAAACGACGACGACGAGAACGAGGACAATGAAGAATAATGCTGGAAACAATGCCAGCAACCACGAATGACAAGGGAAAAAGGCTTGGTCAGTGTGGTTCTTTCTTTTTTGCCGTTTTTCTGTCTGTTCCATCAACTGGCGACGACAATTGGTTTCCACTTCTTTGTGTCAATGTTCGCTGCTTGCAACGAACATGATGCTTTATTTAGATGATTTTTCATGGTTTTTTTTTCTTTCGTTGCGAACCACATTTTCAATGAAAAACGGAACATTTTGTTCACTTTCTCGCTCTCTCCCCCTCTCTATTGTGCAAAGAAAAACAAAAGAACCTTAATTTTGTGTAAATTCAGCGAAAAATAATTCGAAAATGGAACAGTTACACAGTTGTCGTTGTATAATAATGTGTGTGCGATGTGGTCGGGGAGTAAAAAAACAAGTGCCATTCCTAAGAGACAGATAATATTACAGAGTGGCGGGTTTTTTCTATTATTCCCGACAATAAGCGGTAAACAGCATATGCTATCAACATGTGACTGGGTGTGTTCCAGATATCCTTCGTTTCTGAAAGGGAAAAAGAATGACACTTTGTCTTTTAATTCTAATAAGGATATTTATTACAAGTTTCTTGCCATCATCTTCGATATCCTCCTCCACGCGTTTTGCCATCGTTTTTTTCTCTTCCTCGCCTTTTGCAACTTTGAGCCATAACATTTTTTAATGAAACTTCTTGATTTATCGTCACCCTTCATTTTTGCTATGTAAAAGATGTCTTGTGGTGTGCTCTCAGTTCTATTGTAATACAAAATGGCTAATATTTCATTATCAAAGCCAGTGGAATGGAATATTTTCGAAAAGATAAACTCTTTTCCATGAAAATGCACACACACACACGCGCGCGCGCGTGCACACACCGAAAGTTTTGTATTTATTTTTCGATCGTAAATAAGTAATAACCGTCGTTTCGGTAAGTCATACATACCGTTAGTTGCTGGTTGCTGGTTGGCTGCTTGTTGTTGTTCAATCGATTTTCTCTGTTTTTGTTTGACAATTTGAATATTCACCAGTAAAATTCCACCCAGTGGAGTTTAGACGCTTTACTTCTTATCTTATTCATAAACTGATATTTGTTTACTTGTTTGTTTGTTTGTTTGTTTATTCGTAAACCGAAAAAAAAACTCGTTTCTTCCATGCTGTGCCATTGTGTCTTCATCCATATTGTGCGCATTGATTTGGTGCTGGATTTTCTTGGTCTCGGGATTTGCCGCCGCAATGTTTTCTCGTCATCATGTTCATCGAACATCAACAATCTACCCACCAATATATATATTTTTATATATCTCTTTGCGTTATTTAATAATCGGGTGTGGATGGCGAACAAAAAACATATAACAAAACAAAACAAAAACCCACAACAAAATGCGCGAAAAACGATGTTGCGGCTGGCAGAAAGGGAAAGCGGCGAGTAACACGAATGGTAGTGGTTGTTGTATTGGTGTTTGCCATTTGCTGGCTTCCAATCCAGGTAAATATTTACTAGCTTTCTTTAAGTTGCTTACCATCTTTTTCTTCTTCTATCTCCCTTTTTTCCCCCTCTTAACCAATGAAAACAGATTATGTTATGATTAAATTCCATGTCTTGGAATTCAGAAACAACATCAACTTTTTATTTTCGTTTCTTCTCTCGTCTGTAGAAGAAGACATATGATTTTTTGAACTTTTCTTATATACTAAGCTATGGACAACCGTCTCAGACGAAGCCTCCCTCTGATTCGCCTAAAGTTGACCTTCAAAAACCATATGTCGATGCGAATTTATTCATAAGAAGAGGGGAAAAAAGCACAAATTCATTGATGCCCACTCAGTGCGTGCACTCAGCAGTGTGTGCTCCATCTAATTTTGATTCATTCTCTATGTAATGTCAGCTATAATTTGCTATTACGAATGCTGCCTTTTTCTCTTTGTCAAACTTTCATTCTCTGTTTACACTCTTTTTAGACGTACGTTAGTGTGTACACTGTTTACTGTACAGCGCAGCAGTAATGTGTCAATGATATCAAGATTTCCACGCGATTCGCCTATGTTTGCACAAGCAATTCAAGTCACAAACGACATTTTCAGTAACGGATATTACTGATTGAAGCACTCAACTCCCAACAAAGTGTGCTCATTTTTCCGCTCAAATCATGTGTTTGACTTTGGAATTAGAAGAGTTAAAGCGACGATTCAGTGCGGCTCTTTCATTCATACATGAAAAATGTATTTTTAGATATGTAATAACATATCATCGTTTTCTCGTTATCATGAGCTGTATCACAGCAAAAAAAAGGAGTTTGCCATTGAAGTGAACATGACTGCTTGGCTGCTGCCGCTGATGCTGCTGTTGTTGTTTTCACTCAATGAATACAAGAAAAGTCTCAGCACGATAGACACACAGGAATATTCGAGTACATTACATTCTATTCATGTACATAGTTATTCATTTTCTGTTCCAATTTCGAATTTATTTGTCAAGTGTGCACGCCGCATCACAATCGATACACCAATCCAATGAAATGATGATGATCTGTCTCTCATTCTCACTCTCTTTCGTGGCCCTCACACACTCACACACAGTGCGGTTTTCGTCTGTGTCAATGTTTGCGTGCAAATACATTTTTTTTCCCCTCCGATTTTATGGGATTTTTCGCATTCTCACTTTGATAAACATCGAATTTCTATGCTAAATTTGTGTTACACAAATAGATAATCATTTACCCATGGGTAAATGCCGCGCTGGCTTTATTTTCTCTTTCTCTCTCTTTCTTTTTTCTATTTTGGGCATTCCAAAAGATTTAAATAGGCAGAAAAAATGTGAAAGAAAAAAAAAACGAATACGAAAAACGACATCAACATCACCATTACCATTGAATACAGATGATTCATTTTGGATGGTGTGTCTCCCATTGAGCGCATAAAGTCACACAGCCACATGCTGAAAATGCCGAAAATTCAATGCAACGATATTTAAATTATGAAGTAATTCATTCGTCCGGAATAACAAAAAAAAAACAGGAAAAAAAGAGAATGTTTTCAATTTGTTGAACGATCAAAAGGAATGGGCAAGTGAGGCGAAGAAGTCTTTTTCGTAAACAGTTTATTTTTATGCATTGAATCCAGTGTGTAGAAAGTGGTGAGTGTGTGAATGTTTGCGACGACGACAATGACAACAATAGCAGTCATACGATATTTGTTTATTATTATTCAGCACACAACATTACATACTGAAATACGCAAATAAGTCAGCCCAAACGAGGTGACGATGAAGTAAACCATCATTGGAATTCATTTATCGTCACGTTGCAAACACGGAAATTACGGTTTTACCCCAAATTTATTCTGAATACACTTGCAAGAAAAAGACTGACATTCACACGATAACCGACACGACAATGAGGCGAGAGAAAAAAAAGAGGCTGGCACTTTGTGCCTGTTTTTGTGGTGTGCATGGCACAAAAAGATATAATATTGAAGAGCGGAAAAAAATCCAGTCAAACATACCATCTGCGCCAACAAAACATGCATAAGTTTACGAACGGCTGTAAATCATTTCCACCGTACGAGCTGAAAAAAGCGGCTACGAAACGGATCCACAAGATAAAATGCAAATAAAAAAAAATTATGAAAACTTTTTGATAAAACAAGTCTAACATGTTGATTCGACATTCGCAGTTTGTATAAAAACCCCATGAAAATGTTTTCAGTAAAAAGACATAAAACGCTTGTTGCCTGTGTACATGCTTTGAGCGATTGAGTGTGTGGAAAACTTTTTCGTACGATTAAATTCCTTTTTAGCATTCAGATTGGTGAATCTGATTAAAAAGTCACTTTAGGGGACCGTACCGTTTTTTTTTCGTTCGCTTCTGCACAAACAACAAATCGACCAACTTTTTCTCCTTTTGGAATTAGATTGAACATGAACATGGGATCCAAACCGTAGTTAGATTACACGTACAAAGCTCGATAAATCAACGAAATATTCGAGGAGATCACATAATAATTATAAATCAATGTTTGCATTTGGTATGTTCGTCTGAAATGATATAGACAATGTGCGTAGCATGATGTTCATGCACAGCATACGAACTATCTGAATGGTTAAGCTTGTGAGGATGGATTTTCCACTGGCCAACAATATAATCATTTAATGACACAGATATACCAGTCTCATGCTGGTAAACTACATTCACATTTTAATTTGGTGATTTTGCGATGCCAAACACAGCAGCAGTAGCATCAGTAGCACCACCACCACTCTCTGTCTCTTTGAAATAATATTCAGCCCACGCAATTTACAAACGTTTGCATTATGTCTGCCTTTTGCATTTAGAGTTATTTGAGCTGAGAGCTCGTAACGATCGCATAAATCATCAAAAATGAGCTTCTTCGCTTATTTTGATTAACATGCATTTGTTTATCTCGGTAATGCACTTTGAAAATGATGGCCATGTTTCGACTCGAAACTTGGCTTCGAGTAGCCGAAGAAAGCAGAAACCTATATTAAGTTGAATGAATTACACGTAATGAAGTGAGACTTGGATATTAGTCAAAAAAAAGGCGTAAAATATTCAAGTGAATAATAAATTGCGAATAAAGGAAAGCGAGAGACAGAGAGAGAGAGAGAGAGAAAAGAGAGAGAGAAAATGCGTTCGAAGCAAATGAATTCCCAGACGAGGCAGTATATATAAAAAGCTGCATAAAAAAGTGTTGATTATTATATTTGTATGTTGAGCGACAGAGCCCCACATCCACGTGTCGTGCATTTGGACAGGTCAACTAGTTAATTAAAATGAAGTGAACGCTCATTACTCAGTGGAGTGGCTCAAAACATCATTGTGGTTTGCATTGGACCACATAATTCAATTATGCCTCTCTCCTGACTTTGACTACAACCAATTAAAACTGAAATTATCATCCTACTGGATGTCAAGTGTGGTGAATTTGTTGAGGTGTTCACAATTCATGCCCATTCTATTCAGTGAAGCGTAAACAGGTTCTACTGTGCCAAACTCGTAATGAATGTGAATTTTCACAAACAGAATGTTTAATGTTTTTAATTGATTAAATCCAACGCACTCGCACATCTGTTCCGACTCACTTGTGATACACAATCAACGAAACAGACTATATGCTATCTATTGTGGCAACAGAAATTTTGATATCAGCTCTCGAGAACGTGGCTCACTGAATGAAAACAATGATCAACCTTGAATGGAGTGATGGATAACAAGAGCCTACTCAAAATAATAACATTATCGCCTTAACATATTTGATAAATTGACTTGTTCAAATATGGAAATACACGATAATGGCATCGAATGCCTCCGTATCCAATGCTACAAAAATAACATTACACGTGCAAATATTTCGAGTTTTCGAAAATTTAATCATTCGTCATTATATGGAAAATGATGATTTTTCCATGGCTACAAAACCAGCCTTAAATAAATAATGATGGTAAACATCGAACTAATTACAAATGCTTGAAAATTGAATTCAATATGGCCATGGCCACCAACAAATATATATATAGATATATAGACACACCAATTTAAATTGGTTGCCAAGGATTAGAAACAAACAATATGTATGGATACGGCAATAATAATAATATATACATGTTTACCTGTCGACCAAGTTCAAAACAGTCATTGTAATAATGGAAATATCAGCTTCGTTTGTCATATTCATCAAAATTAATAAATCTTTTTTTTTTCTCTATTCGGCCACTTCTGTTCTATGATAATGTTTCACATGAAATATTCATGTTTGAGTATTCCGGTGCGCACCAGGATGCGACATTTGAACAATCGAATGTGAAATACACCATCACAGTTTGTGCGTAACTTATATATGTATGGCGTTCTATTTTGCATGCTCAAGGGGCAATTGTGGCACTTTCTTCAACGTTGTGAAGTAGTTCAATCAAAATGAAAGCACCCTCTATACACCAATTGAATTCAGTTCAATAGGTGTATACCATTAAGTAGACGAACAAAAAATCGAAGTCTTGATTGTTCCATCATATGGAGCGTTAAATATGGTAGCTACTTGAGACTCAAGCACTTGCAATAAAATATTGTATTCAATATGAGCTTGGCATTGCAATGAAATCACCGGGTGAAATCGTTAAAGTGAAACACAGCTGAAAAGAGCAACAATATCATAAAATGTGAAAGGTGCATTTTCTATGGAATAAGATGTAAATATTTAACGCACGGGAGCACAGGAGCATAAGAAAGAACGTAGAAAATCCCATGAGACCATTTTGACTGAATGTTTCCAAAGTGTGAATAAATGGGGCAACATTGTTAACAGCGCCACGTCAAAGCGGTTGCCCGATCCACTACAGTCAGTCGTAACGCAAGGTGGCACAAGCATGTCCCATTTTCTGCATCTAATCGTCGCGTTCATACGCATGTATATGCGAAAAATGGTACAAGCTTGTGCCACTTTGCGTTGCTATTATTTAGCCAATTTTTTTAAAAACACGTGGGTTTCGTTTCGCTACAAAACTTTGCTTTTTGATCAGAATGCAAGTATGAAGTTATAAAACCTACGATTTTTTTTAAATTTGGCTAAATATAAGTAGAAAATGTACTCTTTCAGGATATATTTTTTCCAATTTTTTTCGGAAATAATTTTCATTTGGTTAAGATTAGTTTGTTTGTTTTTCAATCACAAGCATACGTCAATGGGTTCCAGTAATAACCAACGTGAAGTTGGCTGCGTTGCCCGGTATGCATTATGTTCACCCGTTGAATGTTTCACTTCAACACATTTTGTCTCATTCTATATTAATTATCTGCAGGAATTTACAGCTTTGAATTGCAAATACCATAACGAGAAACAATGAATTTAATTAAACAAATCAAGAGTATGCACGGGCAATAATATTTGTTAAAGCACTGAACAACAGTGTCCACCGGCCATAAGCATCAATAACAATGTATCTGCGGCAGGAATTTGAAGGCGACTATGCGAGAAATTTTGCAGCAACACCATCACCCGAAAAAGCACTGCAACATGATTTTTCATGTTGGAACCGTTTTCAGTCGGGAAAAATGGAATATTCATGCAATGCGCACAAATAACAAATAAAGTGCGAAATGCTTCTCAAAATTTAAATTAAAGCTAATTCAATTTTCTGGTGCACACTGCAGCTCGAGACGAGCAAAGCCAAACTAGATTTTGTTGTGTTCCAAAAACCCCATCCACACACCGGCGTGCGCTATTATTGCTGTGAAATGACCTCATTATTTGGGAGAATTGTCTGTGTGAAACTTAGACTGAGTGTTGCTGGCTATCCTTTTAATTTTTTCGTATGATAATTTAGACAAACAAAATGTATAAATGTACACAAAAATGGAACGGAACACTGGAGTGAACCAACGAACAGGAGAAAACCGCTCGCATTTTTGTTTCTTCACAACTAATTTTAAAGCTCACTGCTGTCCATTTTGTTACCACCCGCCATTTTTCGCGTCGTGATTCTGCATTTTTAACTAATTCACAGTTGTTTGCTTATGTTTATCTTTAGGTTTGTTTTGTACACTTGAGAAAAAAAATTGGCGCAAAGTAAACAGAAATATGTGCAACGCAATCTGAAAAGTTTTTCCGACTTTCTCGCTTTTTCTTTGTGTGTGCTTCTCTCTATCCTACCTACATCTCTCTCACTCTGTATCTCTTTCTGCATAAAAAATTTATGACGGAATTCACAGAAGAATAAAATAATTTGGTCTCTGCATCACGCAACACATTTTTTGTGCCATTTGCTATCTTTCCTGATGTTGCGAATGGTTACTTTCGCTATGGTCCAGATGCGAGCAATTTATTTCGAAAGTATACTTCATAGGAAAAGGAAAATTATGAAAATCACCGTCCAAAATGCTTTGATTATTGTTGGAAGTTGGTCATTGTGCGATTCACTCAAATTTTTTGGGCACAAATGAATTGCAGCACAAATAGCCGTTTTAAATGTGTCGCTGAGCATAAAAATGGGAATACAGATCTGTTACAGCAACAACCGAACATATAATATTGTTCCCTAAAAACGTTACATGAATTTCCATCTAACGCGAGTGTAACATGAGTTGCATTAGAAACAGTATTAGCTCATGTTACACTCGCGTTGGATAGAAATTCATGTAACGTTTTTAGGGAACAATATTTTATGTTCGGTTGTTGCTGTAACAGATTTGTATTCCCATTTTTATGCTCAGCGACACAAATGAATTTAATTGTTTACGTCACATTTTCTTTTTGTTTTGTGTTTTGTGGTGTATTTTTTGCCGTGAAAATTTGCTGAAACTTCATGAGCAACGGGACAAAAGAGCCCTCTGAGCATGGAATGGATTCTTTTTCACTTTCACATCTTAATTTGGTTTTCTCTCGGTTAAATTCGTTGTTGTGAAACCTTATTTAAGAAAAAAGAGTTGGTTTTTCCAATTTTTGTTTTCCCATTCCCAAACGTGGTGCAAACTGTGCGGAAGGCATTATAAGATGCATATCACGTTTTGCAATCTGAGAAAGACTGAATAAACTTTTTCTCGAATAGTCGAGATGCAAATCGAAATTTCCATGGAAATTTCCATGGAAATTGCCATGGAAATTCATTTGCAACTTATTTTGTTTGTTCAACAAAATACAAATTAGTTTTTAGTTTTTCGAACGAAAAAACAACGAATCACATTTCTAATGGAAGAAAAATTGTGTTGCTTGCAGATAATATTGGTGCTGAAGTCGCTGAAACTGTACGGTAACTCCCACATCACGGTTATTATACAAATCATATCGCATGTGCTGGCCTACACAAACTCTTGTGTCAACCCCGTGTTGTACGCCTTTTTGTCCGACAATTTCCGCAAAGCATTCCGAAAAGTAAGTAGCACGACTCACTCATTTATTTCCACTTTTTTTTTTAAATCACTGCACCATTGTCAGTTGCTTTTGTGCGTGAGTGTTTGAGTGTGAATGTGTGTTCGTTGATTCATGTTGTTCGAGCAAATTTTCAGTTGTCTTCTTCACGGTCATAACACAAATAACTTTCGAACTTGTTTTCAACTTTTCAATAAATTCGAATCGTTTTTTTTTAATTAACTCAAGAAGTCGTTGTTTAAATGCAAATCGGGGGAAAAATTACAGCGCAAATGAATACCATAAACTTATTCAATTGCACTTTTGCCTCAATATCTCATCCATTGATAAGTTTAATTAGCGAATCCGGGAGAAAGTTAAACAAACGCTATAGTTAAACAAACCGGCTATGCAAATGTAGTTTTCCAGTTTTTCAGTTTTCCGTCTGCTCCATTCAGGTCAAACACACCCAAGAGATTCAATTTTTTGCATTCAAAAACGCAGAAACTGCAAATTCGCCAGATGATTAAGTAAATTATAAGTTTGCTGCTTGAAAAACGCTCATTCATTGACCGGAAATTGAAATGCTAGGAAAAAGTTTTCCGTTGAGCTTCTGCTTGGCTGGACGCTAAATTAAATTAATTGCCATCAGTTCTATTGTCAATTTTAATTAGTTCAATTCATCGAAATGGTTTGAAATTACGAAATCAAATACAAATTACATGTTGTGTAGCTTCAATCGGATTTAATGTATCGAAGTGAATAGCCGCGAGCTCATCATTGATTTATAATCCTTTAACTTGATTTTAATGAAAATATTCAATCTTTAATTTGATTGTGGGATAAAGTTTTATTCTCTGAGTCGGAATTTTCCATCTGGCTCCATGGAAATGGTATTGGATTCAATTGGAACCGACTCTTTCTACGGAATGTGGCACAGAGTTGATGAAAAGCAAGTTCCAAAGAAAACCACCTACACGGAATGGATGAATCGGAAAAGACAAAACTTTTAATGGATTTCTAATTTCCGTTTTCAGTTGACGTCATCGCTACGTCTTTCCTTTATCCCACACCAAATGCTTAACACGCTCGCTTCAGCTGTAACAAATCATTACAAATACTGGAAGTTTTTTGATTTCCCCTTTTTCGACCGAACGAATGTTACCCTTGTAACCACAGCGACAATGCGACGCACAAATGTTGAGTGGTAGTAAAAAACGACTACGACGAAAATGACGATGACAATCGAGCAACAAATGCAGACTTATTACAATATTAGAACATTGATTACAATTAATTGTCGTCTATTGAAGCAGAATGTTTTTGCCCACATGCACCGTTTCGTCAGACGCATTTGCATTGTTGAATTGGTTGCACTCATAATAGCACGAACATCACAGGCAAACGGCCTCTTTTCGTTTAATGGAGGACATTCTCTCTTAACTGGAATTACTTTGTAGATTAACGCAGCGTCGCTGTAATAAATTATGTTGAGATGATAACAGGGCCAAAGGAGAAGAAGACGCCCATTGAATATGGCTCACACTACACCTGACTTTTTACACCTGATTAACCCACGTTTAGTGTCAGATTACACTTAAAAAAATTCCACCTAATAGCTCTTGAGCACAATCGTGCAATGACTCAACATTTTAGCTCGCAATTTCGAAAAAGAAAAAAAAAATATCGAGAAGAAAAGAAAAGAACGCATATGAAGCGACTCAGGTGAATGAGCAAGCATTCAGACAGCATTGAATTTTTTACGTTCATTCTTCGTCTAGCTGCGTCTGTTAGGTATTTTTCTTTTTCTGTGGAATTTTTTCTTTCTGCTACCGTTGTCTCAAACAGCGATACATTGTCGCGGCTGGTGTTCGTAATGCGATTAGCTTAATCGAAAAAGGGTCTCTCGCACATCATTAGCACCTTGCGATAAACTTATAAAATTCGAAACCAAATTAACACCTTGTGGTGCTCGTGCTCAGTTCAAAACCAATTTCGTTGAACAATTTTCTCAGTCCATTTTATAATGTTCTCGGTTCTCATGGAAAATTCGTTTACATTCTCCATGGATGACAGCATTTTGCATCGCTCGCTTTCTTTTTTGTTTCATCTTTGGTTAATTTTACGCTTCCGCATGTTTCGTTGTGAATGCTGTTTGCCACAGGGAGTTGGCAAGACGCACGTTGTAAGGTTTTAGACATCCATCGAAAGAGATGGTGAATACAACTTGTATATATCCATCTCTCTTCCTCCTCGAAATCGAACTCAAAAATCTTATAACGTACGTCTTGCTAACTCCCTGTGCTGTATGCTTGTGAATTGAAAACCACCACCAACACAATCGAATATTAAATTCCATGAGTTTATTTATTTAAAAACGCGCTTATTTTCCATATTTTCTTTGCTTTTCGTATGCATGCACAGAATGCCCTTGAAGCAGTACACATCAACGATGTTGATATGCCATCAACATGATGGTCTCTATTTTAAACAAATACTTTTGTTTTTTAAACGGTAAAAACAAAACAGAATAGATAAAAATTCCCAGAATAAAATCGAATGAATATCTACAAAAATTCGCCTAAACAGATTATTCATCTGTTTTTTGTCCCGAAATGTATGTTGAATTTTTCATGTTGATTCAACATCGTTGAACAAAGAATGTTCATTTTTTTTTGTCTCGTTGCAACAAAAATAAAGAGAGAAAAAAGATATCAGTTTCACCGTTTGCGTGCTGCTTCAATGTCAACTGTGATGAACGAGTGGCTGTGTTTTGTGCCACAAGTTATTTTTCCCTACCATTTCCCAGCACCTTTTTTGCTCATGGTTTTTGCGGTTGCTCTGCTCCTGCATTTGCCGGTGGTTTTATACCTAGGTCTCGCACTTTTTTCTCTGCTCTTTCATTGAATAATAATATTATTATTATAAGTAAAAGAAAAAACCAAGCTCATGATAGAATTTCTTTGGAACAAAAAAATGTTGTAAAACGAGAGAGGGAAAATTTCATATTTACAGTACAGCGTGTATCGCTGAGAGTTGTGCGCATTCAACAACCATCCATTTACCTTTTTCTGCCCATTGAAACGGAAAATTAAATTTAAAATGCCATTTGCTTATTTTCATTTCGCTAGAAAATCACAAACAAGTAAAACTAAACCAAATTTACTATTAAATAGCACACTTTATTATGAATGAAATGAGAATATTGACAAAAAAATATTCAGAAAATGAAACAAACACTTTCGACATGAAATTAAACCAAAAAACAAAACAAAACAAAACAAATTAAATGAACTCTCTGTTGTCTGTTATAATTCCCGAACAGATAAAATGTGTTTGTTGTGCCAAGGATGTGTCCAGCGAAGCATATGAACCGATGAGTCTTGAAACGACACTGTGAAAACCACGCACTGATTGTCTGAATCTCACTCTCTCTGACCATAAATCAGAGCAGAAACACTAACCGTGTCACATCAAATCGTCGGGGCATCGAGCAAAAAAAAAATGAAATAAATGCGAGACATGGCTATCGTTTGCTCAACACAAAATCGATTTTATGCAGTAACCATGCACACAAATGTGTGCAAAACTTCAAGGAAGTGTTCAACAGTAGAAATAAATCATTGAAATTTGTGTAAAGAATTTTTTTTTTTAAATTTAGTACGTGTGGTATTACCTCTTGGATTTCATCACACATGTGAATAAAAAATGTAGAGCAAAAACAAGAAGTACAAAATTTGGAACAAAAAAACGATTTTCTTTCAAAATTAAATAGAGAAATATTGTAACGCTGCACATGAGTTGCGCTTTTGTTGTGGTCGTCCGCTAAATAATCCAAATCGCTTGAATCTCCGTCACACATAACCATTCTGTGTTGAAGATAGAAGATAAAGTTTGCTATTTAATAATAAATGTCTTGTACCATGTTTTATTGTATGTATTGTGTGTCAATGTTATTTTTTGTTCATTCTCACACATTTTATGCGATTGTCATTCGTATCGTTGTTGTAATTTGTTCCGATTTACTGGCAAACATAATCAAATACATTTGTGCAATTGCCTTTTCGTGTTTCATGTTCATGTACTGCTTCTTTTTCTATATCCGTTCTGTAGTGCTTACGATAAACAAACATAAATGTCATTCATTTTGATATCTCACACCGTTAACATGAATAACAATGTGTTCTCATTATTATCTCGTTGTGGATGTGTACATGTGACATAACCATTCACATCAGTATGTATACCAAAGCCTAATGAGGAAATCCAACACTGTAACACTGTGCAAAATTGGGATTTTAGTTTGAATTATAAATCAAAGGCATCAATTTGGATTAGAATAGATTTCTGATTTTAGAATTGGACGGAATTGAGACTCTAACTTCGAGTTTCATAGTTTTTCTTTTATTTCAAAGTAAATCTCTTCCTAATTCGACATGCATTATTGAATTTCGATGATTAATTACATTTGCATATCAAGTTATGAACCAAGAACTGTTGACTTTTGGTTCGAACGCTATTAGCATTTGTATTAAAACTCACTAATTTCTTGGTTGATAATTTGATATTTTCTCATCGCATCATTAGTTTACATGAAACAAAAGCTCATTTTATCTAATGGGAGCTCATACAAATGAAGTCAAAGTGTATTGAATCAGAAAATGAGATTACTTACCCATAATTAGAAACAAGCCAGGAATAAAAATCGTTAATTAAGCTTGAAAAACAAACAAAGAAATTCTATTTTTGTGGTGTATTTGTATATATATTTTTCCATTGCATTAAAATGTACCATTAAAAGCACTTTAAAAATCCTCTTTTATTCCATTGCAATTTTATCATTCCACACCAATTTGAGTGATGAGTAAGAATATCTTCTCTTTTCATCAGGTTGTGTGGTGCGGTCGACCGCCATTATTCGAGGTGAACCGCCATCAGACGAAAGCTACGCGGACAACAGGTAACGGTACATCACATGTTGATCTCCTCTAAACCAATCGTCATCATGTGCATATCGGTGCACCAACCAAAACCCAACATAGAACAACATTTTCTTTCAATTTTTGATTTTTGTTTGCCATTTGAATACACTATTTTTGTACAAAGAGTTGATTTTATTTTGTATGCTGTTTGGAGAATGTTCGTTTCGAATTAAAACGCCCTTTTTGTTAAAGCATTTATTTTTTGTTGAATTCGAAAAGAAAGAAGAAAAAATGAGAGAAAAACAACAACAAAAACAGATTCAACACATTAAAATAATGAATTAACATCGATTTAGATGAACGTAGGTACAGTAGATTTAATGTAATCAATTATTTATATAGTGTGCATTTTTACCAGATTCTAGTTGTTAACAGTTAGGTGCGGTGATTATTACTGGTAATTGCAAGTGGCAACTACAAAAAAGGTGTAACGTGTACGTTTAATATTAGGAATTAATAAATGGAAAAATGGAGGAAAAATATTATAAGTTTCTTTAGCTAAATTATGTTTATTAAATATCTCCAACTCTGCTGTAAACGCTCAACCGAACGTGCGCAGTGCTATTAGCCATCAATTCTATTGTGACGTAAGAAAGAAGAAACAGAAATATGCATAACCATTTTCTACATTAAGAAAAACCCATTATTGGATGCTAAAGAGCGTCCGAGCATCTTAGGAAAATTGAATTTCGAACCGAACATTTTAAACATTTAACTATTGCAAAAAAAGCAGAAAAAAAGAAGAAGAAAACAACTGAAATGGAATTAATTCGGATGTAAGCTGTAATAGACTAGACTTCGTATTTGCCATAACTGTCATCAATTAATCATGATTTGCGGAGGGGGCAAAAATTCGAAATAACTCGGTTTTTGTACATTATCTACTTATAAGCCCATCGGCTACAAAGTTTTTACAACCATCATCGTGTGTATTGTGTCTTGAAGCTCAAAACGGACATTTGAAAACCACAAACTCTGTGTTTGGCTAAATAAACGCACTTAATCTCATTCTAATCCACTAAGTTAAACAATTTCTCCGATTGAAAACGGTTTATACCATGTTTCTCGAACTGGACAAACTGGCTACATTTTACTGGGTAGATTCATTAAAACTCCCTTCACCGCAGCCACCACCGTCACCGTCGTCGTCATCGTTGCTGTTATCCCAATGAATCGCTCATATATAAACGGCTCGCCGAATTTTATGTTGATTGAAAAACATAAACTTTTTGCCCAAACAGTCGGCGTTGGGAATTTTAATTGAAAAACACGTGTTTTTGGTGTGGCTATCTTCATGAGGGCTAAAAGATCCATTAGGCGACATTTTTTTTTCTCTGTGCCGACATTAAATTTAATGCCACCCCAACACACTCGGGATCGCATCGCACATTTTTGTTGTGTGTTTCGTCGATCCGCACCGGGCAAATGGCTTCTAATTTAAACTTTTATGAATTTACCAATTGATTATCATAATTCGAGTTGGACGTAAACTTTGCGACGACGACAACGAAACTCTCGACAATTGGATCCATTTGGAATAAAGAATTTATGTGGGAAAATAAAGACTAAACATTCGGACCAATCACAATGACATGAAATACGGACGACGTTTTTCTTCTCCATGCGATCGCTGGAAATTTGGATTGTCTGATAGTAATACAATGTTCAGATGTGCACGCCAGCCCATTCGCATGAATAGTTAATTCGTAATTTCGATGCGGTGACAATGTATACGATGAACCCCAACATATTTCACACGGTTCCATTCACATAAACAACCAGGCTTGAACGGAAAGCGGACATGGACCGCAAATAAAATCCGACAATAAAATGAATTAGAGTCCGCTATGTGTGTGCGTGTGCTTGTGCTTGTGCCTCTTTCGTTTCGGCCATTGCATCTCTTGTGTGGTGGCCTTGTATATTTTATGTTGTCAGCGTCTGTTTAAACATTTTCTTTTTTTTCGTGTACGTGAACCATTTCTCATCGGTCTAATTATCAGATCGAACTGAATTCTTGGCAAGAACCATCCTCACTATCTTCTCTCTCGTTTAATAGCGGCCAATTCGAGACGAAAACGAGAGCACAAAGCAGTTGAACGCACTGAATTGCTTATTATGCTTCTTAATGACATTGATTTCATCCCTCGACAGCAATCAAAGAGAACAAATAAAAATGACCAAATTAACCATCGCATTCTACGATCCCATTGATAATTCGATGCGTACAGCTATGATCCGTCGATTCCATTCCGACATGACCACGACCTGCCCAACACAAAACCAACCCTTGAAATTGCCTGTGAACATGTACGACGACGCACAATACACGCAGTTGATGCCAGCCAATGTCGAATGGTGCGGTCAATTGCACAGAAGCTAATTCAGTTATGACCTCAGTTCATTAGTTCACAAAATTAAATTCAATCGAATGAAATTTGGTTTTGCTTTTCAGGCTAATCTTAAATCAATTTCGATACGTTTTTGTGCATTTGCCGGTCATCCGCGCCGACATGTCGCGCATCTAGGAATAGTGGCGATATTTAATTTGAATTTGGCGGAAAACAACATTAAATTGTGGATGTATATTAGTGTTTTTAGCAGAGCATGTTATGAGCTGATGTCAGCAGCACTAACTGACGGCAGTTGCTGAGCTCAGCTGCTGACGAGTATGCGTTGCGTTATTTTGACGCATTTGCAGTATAAAAATGTGGAAGCCAATGGCTCGATAAGATGACACCTTGTTGGATTCCACATTTGTATACTGCAAATGCGTTAAAAGAACGCAACGCATCTTCGTCAGTAGCTGAGCTCAGCAACTGCCGTCAGTTAGTGCTGCTGGCATCAGCTCATAACACACTCTGGTTTTAAGCATAACCTCAATATTATGAACATCATTGAATTTTTGTCGGAATTTGTTTTTCCTTCTGCTGATAGAGACAGCATTACGATCCAGGATAACAAAGCTCTAACATCAATGCATGCTAATAACCACTTCATTTCACTGTGTTGTACAATAAGACGGGAGCTGAGCACTCTATATACAGTTCCCTTCTCTTTTTCTCCCCTCACCTCCATTCATCAGCTGCAAAATATGTGAAAAGAAAAGCTCATTTTGCTTTGGATATTTATTAAATTTTTCAATAAATGCGCGAGCGTGTGCGCCTCTGCCAGCGAGAGTCTTAGTGTTTGCACGGTAGTGCTTTTACATCAAGCGAAAAAGATTGAATTATCAATGAAGCGGAGTGAGTAAAAGGCGGCTTCCATCCGTAGTGTTGTCTCGATGTACGTCTATATATTATGTACATTTATTGCAAATATGTGGAACATAAGCGCGCGCGCGCACGCACATCACTAGCAAAGAAATGCTGATCTCATTTGATGGCTGAATGAAAACAGTATGATTATGTTTGCCTGTTTGCTTTTCCCCGCATACCATCAAACTGAAATTCTGCTTTTCGGAAAAGTTTAAGTGTAAGAGAATTCAGTGGTTTTTCAAACTATCGTTTCCACAAGCGACACACCAATTTACCGACTGAATATTTTATTAATATATTGAAATATGTGATAGAAACGTGAATCTCAATGCTGAGAATGGGCAACGCGAAGCGGCGAACACCATACAATGAACTTTCTCTCTCTCTCTCTCTTTTGCCGTCTCCCTACATCTATCTCTATCTATCTTGTGCACACCACTGAAGATACCACATAATTGTTTTGACGTGTGACATAAAAACACATTGGAGATCATCTTATCGCATCATCAAACAATAGTATTGTTTAAGCACATCGCTCGCACGCACACATGAACGCAACAATCCCCAAAGCAGAGTTTATTAAAAATATGCAAGCAGAGCTAGCGTAATGAGCGTACATGTACATCATAAAATTGCTGGTTGTATCGTTTTTAGCTCTCTTTCTCCTTCTCTCTCTCTCTCTCTCTCTCTCTCTCTCTCTCTCTTTCTCGTGCTATCGTTATATTTTTGTTTCTGTTTTTTTTATTTCTAATGTTTCGACTTGGCGCAGCCATCATTTTCTCTACATTCACTTCGGTGCGATGGAGTTGTGGTTGCTTTGACTCGTTACATTTTATTAGCGTGTAAATAAACTGAATAATTTGATGAAATGTAATTATACTTTTGGCATGTGTTTGCTTTGCCCCACGCCACACCAAAAACCGAAACCAAATTTCCCGTAGAACGACAGATAGAGAGGGAGAGAGCGAAAAGTGCAAGAGCCGAATATCTGGAGTGTGACAGCAATAGCGAAAGCGCAACGCACTCTTCGGTTCTTAAACAACATTCAACACATTAAAACCGCATTCAAAACGCTCCAATATTATAGTAAGTGAGCTCACAATCTCTTTTGCTCATTTTTATCGTCTCAACGTCGTGTATTGATGGTTTTTTTTTCTTCTGCTCGATGCGCTTCTTCAAGGCATGGCAAACTCAGTGTTAGTGCTCCTTCTAATGGAACCAACCATAGAGAATATCGTTGAATTTTATGTCTTCGATTCATTTTTTCTTCCAAGAAAAAATGTTCACATAAAGACGCTAATAAAAGCAACGGATTTTATTCTTGCTCCTCTTCTTCTTGAGCTTTTATTTTTCAATACATTAATTTCCAATCGTTTCACATCAAATGCGACGATCGATCTGAGTTCAGATCCAAACTGTTCCCAAGATGTTAAAAAGGGACAAAGTGCTTTTGAAGATTTTTCCATCATAAAAAATATGGTGTACTCTATCACAGAAAAAAAAGAAGTTATTTATTGGTTGCTTTCGTTAATAAGAGCCTAAATTGGACACGAACATGCAATAACTCATTGTGCAC